ACAATATTTACTCAAGAGAATGCCATTTATCTGACAAAACTTCATTTTTTGCAGAATGTTGTAAAGGAACGTTGTGATAAAACAGCCTTGGATTATAATGATATCCAATGGCAGGTGAAACAAAATCTACTCTGTTGTATGGAACCATGAGAGTAGTGCGGTCTCAGGCATCAATTTTCTAGTGTTATTTTAGTATTACTTCATTTCCTATTTTGCATCAAATATTCTTTCCCAAGACTGTCTTAAAGTAGCCTAACAAATCTAAAAGCTCTAGCTAAAATTCTCAATGACTATTAGCAAAGTAACAAATAATCCAAAACAATCTAAGTAATCTCATCATTAATGAAGACAATGTTCTAAGTGCAAGCTAGGCGCAAGCATTTATCTATAGACTCCTGTTGTATTGATGTACATAGTGAGGACTAACAACTGAATACTGTGTGCGTATGTGTGTGTGTGTGTGTGTGCGCGCGCGCACACGCATGTGCGTGCGTATATGCTCATGCCCATGCTAGGGCTTGAAATCAGGGTCAGGGTGCTGGGTCCCTGAGCTGTGCTTCCTCAAGGCTAGTGTTCTACAAATTAAGCCATAGCTTTACTTCTGGCTTTTTGGTAGTTAATTGGAGATAAGAGTTCCATGGGTGGGGCTGGGAATGTGGCTCGTGGTAGAGCGCTTGCCTTGCAAGCATGAGGCCCTGGGTTCGATTCCTCAGCACCACATAAGCAAAAAGAAAAAAGCCGGAAGTGGCGCTGTGGCTCAAGTGGTAGAGCACTAGCCTTGAGCCGAAGAGCTGAGGGACAGTGCCCAGGCCCAGAGTTCAAGCCCCACAACCGGACCCAAAAAAAATAAAAGAGTTCCATGGGCTTTCCTGCCCAAGCTGGCTTCGAACCATGATCCTCAGATATCAGTCTCCTAAGTAGATGTAAGCCACCAGTGCCTGGCTCATATTATTTTTATACTAATAATACATCTACACAGCTTCAAAAAAGTCATGATATGGGCCACAAAGACTTTAGATAGTACAAGGATAAAAGATGTTTGTCACCTCCACGAAGCCAAATATGGAGATACAAAGAGGATTAATCAATGTAAAACTAGTGACTCTGGGGATGGTTTGAAACAATGTTTCAGACAAAAATAATCCAGATTGTTCATCCATCAACTGTTAACGCTAAAAGATAGTTCATAGTAGAAGAAAGAACATTGTTGGTAGTGTGTTATTAAGATGACCTAACAGTACAATTCCTAATACTAAGCAAGGATCCCAGTGCCTACTTCAAGAGGCTGAGAATACCAAATGGCTACAAATGTATAAAAGGTCTTGAGTTTATAGTAAGCCATTTTCATTAATAAAAGGGAACGGAGCTGGCACCACTAAGATATGATGATCACGGTTTGGAAGTCAGCCTAATTGGGAAGGTCCTTGAGTCTCTCAGCTCCAACTAACCACAAAAGAAAAAAAACCCGGAAGTGGAGCTGTGGCTCAAGTGTTGGAGCACTAGCCTTGAGCACAAAAGCTCAGGCACAGAGCCCAAGTCTTGAATTCAAGCCCCAGGACCAGCACCAAAAAAAAAAAAAAAGGAAAAGACCCTTGTCTCAAAAAGAAACAAGAGCTTCCAATAGCCAGAAGTGTTTATTTATTTTTAAATCCAAGCATACTACAAGTGTATGTGGATGTTGAGAATCAACCACATGAGCTACCTATTATGTACAATATGTGGAGAAAGATACATTTCACAAAAAAACTAAAAGCAAAACATATGATTGAGAGGATAGGTTAGTAAACTAAAAACTAAGTTGTACACTGAAGTAAAAAGATAATGATTTGGCAGTGCTTACACTTGCCCATGGGAACCTGACAAGTCTTGGGTTTTAGCAAAGTGTATCAGAAGGCCAAATCTTAGCCAGAGCTGCCTAGAAGTGGTATCAAACCCTTGTAGGCTAGAATTGAATGAACTGTTAAAAAAAAAAAATATTCCATTAGTCACTGAGAGATATTGAGGCTAAGTGTAAATCTCAGTTTTGGTGAAAAGCAAAAAGTGGTATTACTTGTGAATAAGCACTATATCTTATCTCACTGTTACATTTTTGTGAGAGTATGTATACACACATATTATACAACCCATTCATAGGGTGAAAGGTTCAAGTTTCAATCTTCTGGCATATCCTGCTTTTCTAGCACCGTTTATTAAAGTGGCTGTGCTTTCAGCATTTTTGTTAAGATAGACGTACGTGGTTGGACGTACATGGGTTTAGTTGTAGGATCCTTATTGTAACTCAGTGTTCTATGTATGTTTTTATGCCACTATTATGCTGTCTCAACAATATATCTTGAAATAAGGTATGATGCCTCTAGTTTTGTCCTTTCTACTCAAGAAAGATTACTTTGGCTTTTTTTTTTTCCTGGTTGTGGGGCTTGAACTCTGGGCCTGGGCACTTCAGCTGGCACTGGGCACTGAGCTTCCCTCAGCTCTTCAACTCAAGGCTGGCACACTCTACCACTTGAGCCACCGCACCACTTCCAGTTTTCTGGTGATTTATTGGAGATAAGAGTCTCATGGACTTTCCTGTGCAGGCTGGCTTTGAACTGCCATCCTCAGATCTCAGCCTCCTGAGTAGCTAAGATTACAGTTGTGAATGACTGCTGCCCAGCTGATTACTTTGGCTTTTTGGCGTCCTTTTACATTCACTGGGTTTAAGGAAAGTTTTATCCTAATTCTATGAAGAATGCAATTCGGTTTCTGATGTAGATCACACTGTATCTGTCAATATCATTGGGAAATAAGAAAATTTTAACTTTTAATTTTTCTAACCCAAGAAGTGTTTCCTGTTTGCTGTGCCTTCTATTTCTCTCTTCAGTGATTCAAAATTTTTACTATGGAGGTCTTTTCTTGAATAAAACTGTCCCTAGGTGTTTTCTTGTTTTTGTTGTTATTCCATAGCTATTGTGAATGGTATTACTTCAATTGTTTCTATTTTAACAAACTCATTAGGGTAAAAAATGCTACTGATTTTTATGTTGATTTTGAATCCTGCACAGTTATTCATGTATCACTTCTAATAATCTTTGATGGAATCTCTAGCTTTACCTAAATACAAAATTGTATCTTCTGGGCTGGGAAGGTGGCTCAGTGGTAGAATGCTTGCCTTGCATGCATGAGGCCCTGGGTTCAATTCCTCAGCACCACATAAGCAGAAAATAAAAAAGCCGGAAGTGGTGCTATGGCTCAAGTGGTAAAGCGCTAGCCTTGAGCTGAAGAGCTGAGGGACAGCACCCAGGCCCAGAGTTCAGGCCCCACTTCCAGACCAAAAACAAAACAAAAAAAAAAAAATTATATCTTCTGTAATAAAGAATAATTTGTCTCTTCCCTTTTCTATTTGAATGCCTTTCATTTGTATCTCTTTTCTTGTGGCTCTTTCACTAATATAGTGAATAATACAAGAATATTATTATATTATTTTTCTTTTGGTTGATCATGGGGCTTGAACTCAGGGCCTGGGCACTGTCCTTGAGCTCTTTGGCCCAAGAGCTAGCGCACTACCACTTTGAGCCACAGGTCCACTTCTGGTTTTTGAGTGGTTAACTGGAGTTAAGAGTTTCCTGTGGATTTTTCTGCCCAGGCTGACTTCACTTCCTGCTTTTTTTGGTGCTTAATTGGAGATAAGAGTCTTAGTGACTTTCCTGCCTGAGCTGTCTTATAATAACCATGATCCTCAGATCTTAGCCTCCTGAGTAGCTAGGATGACAAGCATGAGCCAACGGCACCTGGATATAACATTCTTTTTTTTTTTTTGGGGGGGGGGGGAGGGTCCGGTCGTGGGGCCTGAACTCTGGGCCTAGGCGCTGTCCCTCAGCTCTTCAGCTCAAGGCTAGCACTCTACCACTTGAGCCACAGGGCCACTTCCGGCTTTTTTCCTTTTGCTTATGTGGTGCTGAGGAATCGAACCCAGGGCCTCATGCATGCAAGGCAAGCGCTCTACCACTGAGCCACCTTCCCAGCACCTGGATATAACATTCTTAGAGGAAACATTTTTCAGCTTTTCCCCATTCAGTATAGATTCAGTCTTCTATACATGGACATCTATTTTTCCCAGTACTACTAGTTGAAGAGTCTGTCTTGTCTCCAATATATATTTTTTGGTGCCTTTGTCAAAACTCAAATGCTAGCCAGGCACTGTGGCTAATGTCTACAATCCTAGCTACTTGGAAAAGTGTCAATCAGAAGGATCACAATTCAAAGCAGTTTGGCTAAAGACTGGGAAAACCTTGAGACAATCAATAAGCTGGATGTAGTAGAACATGACTGTAATTCTAGCAACATAGGAAGCGTAAGTAGGAAGACTGCAGTCCAGGCTGGCTTGGGCAAAAAAGTATACAGTCCTACCTGGAAAATAATTAAAGCAAAAAGGGTGAGGAGGGCAAAGCTTAAGGGTAGAGTACCTGCTTAGCAAGTGCAAGGTGCTGAGTTAAAAACCCCAATACTACCAAAAATTAGTAGATGACTGTAGCTGTATGATCTTCTATAGCTATCTGGATCTTCTCTTTTGTTGATCTATATGTCTGCTTTTATGCCAATGTTTTGTTAGTACGATTCTGATAGAAAAGTACTAAAATTAATATGGTAGCATCAAAGATCTGATTGGAAAGCAATCCTGAGCAAAAAGTATAATGTGTGAGGTAAACACAGACCTATCCCATCGCTGTAATTTTGTCATCTGAGAATGTTATATAAACAAAGTCATAGTATATACAGCTCTATGAAATTGAATTTCTGTGCAGCATGATACCCTTGAGATGAAAATGCAAGTATTACTCATTCTTTTCTTTTGCTCCTTTGTAGTACTGTAGAATTCAGTCTACTACATTTCAGCTAATACTAAGCACATGCATTTGGAAAACTAAAAATACTCATAAATTTCCAACTACAAAACAGGATAATTTTCTTAATTTGGTACAACTTAACTTTAGTGGTCAATTAAGCTATAATCAATTACTTACCACATATAATTGTTTCCACAGACTGGCCCATTCTTGTAAAGTTGCTGTAACCTCAGTCACAATAGAATCTTCAAGTGGAACCACAGTTTCATATTGCCTAGAACCAGAGCCACACAAATAGCCACATTATCTTTGGTAAAACTCCACAATACTGTCTGTTTCACTTTTCAGTGTGTTTAATTGAAATTTTAAAGTAAGGAAATGTTACAGCACAAAGCTGTCCTTCACAAAAGAAAGAGAGATAAAGACTTTCTCAGAAAACCAAAAGTTCTGCATGGCAAAACATGCTACAGGAAATTCTTTTTTTTTAAATAAGTTTTTTATTGTGAAAATACTGTACAGAGGGTTACAATCACATGAGCAAGGTAATGAGTACATTTCTTATCAAGCATTGTTGCCTCCTCCTTTGTTTTTCCCCTACATCCTTTCCCTCCCATCTCCACAACTACACTCCCCCTCATAGGAAATTCTTAAAGCTAAAGACATAAGGACACTAAATATTAACATGAAAGTATAAAATAATGACATTCTCAGACAAACAAAAACTAAGCAACTTCATTCCTAGTAAATCTGTCCTGCAAAAAGAAAACACTTTAAGTCAAACTGAAAGAATGCTAATTGGCAACAAAAAAGATGTGAAAATATAAAAATTAATGTTCCAACTTACAATGTACTAATTCAGAAAAATCTACAACACTATAATGATAGTGTAAAAATCATACTGCTGATATAAAAAATTAAAAGATAAAAATATTGAAAATAGCAGGGTGCTGGTGGCTCATGCCTGTAATCCAAGCTACTCAGGAGACTGAGATCTTAGGATCACAGCCAGCCCAGGCAGGAACATCTGTGAGACTCTGATCTCCCATGAACCACCAGAAAACCGAAAGTGGCACTGGGGCTCAAGTGGGAGAGCACTCACCTTGAGCTCAACAGTTGAGGGACAGTACCCAGGCCCAGAATTCAAGCCCCACGACCAACAAAAAAATAAAATTAAAAATATTGAAAATAACGGTAGTTAAAATAATTTGTTAATAGACATATAATAAGAAAGAAATAAATTGTGGTATCAAAAACACAAAATGGGGGCTGGGAAGGTGGCTCAGTGGTAAAGCGCTTGCCTTGCATGCTTGAGGCCCTGGGTTCCATTCCTCAGCACCACATAAGCAGGAAAAACAAAAGCCGGAAGTGGTGCTGTGGCTCAAGTGGTAGAGGGCTAGCCTTGAGTTGAAGAGCTGAGGGACAGCGCCCAGGCCCAGAATTCAGGCCCCACAACCAGACCCCCCCCCCCCCCAAAAAAAAAGAAACCAAAAACACAAAATGGACTGGTGCAGGTGGTTCATGTCTATAATCCTAGCTAATCAGGAGGCTGAGATATGAGGATCAAGGTTCAAAGCCAGGCCAGGCAGGAAAGTCCATGAGACTCTTATCTTCAATAAACCACTAGAACACTGGAAGTAGTGCTATGACTCAAGTAGTAGAGCACTCGCCTTGAGCTGAAGAGTTGAGGGACAGTGCCCAGTCCCAGAGTTCAAGCCCCATGACCAAACCAAAAAAACAAAAAACAAAAAATTAACTTGGACATAACTAATTAGTAGAGTGCTTGTCTAGCATGCACAAGGCTTTGTATTCAATGCTCAGACTTATATAATTTTTTTTTCTAAATCGGTCAATTTCTGCTTGCAAATAAAAGATCTTAAGTTTCCTTCACTTTGATATATAGAAACATTACAAAATAATTGCTAAGCTGCTAATCTATCAATTACTCCCAAAATGGTACACATATATCTATTTTAGCATACTATATATATATATATATATATATATATATCTTTTTAATAAAATTCACAACTAAGAGTTATTTCACCAGATACTGTATTTTTTATTTATATCCTCAAGATTATAAATAAGGAATACATATTTTCTATATAAAAACTTGTCAATAATATGCTTCATACCATGAACCAAAAAGACACAAATAGAATTCTTCTGCAACCTATAATAATTATAAATAAATTTAGTAAGGACAATTACTTACCCCCTATTACTGACAATAGCCTTTTTCAAGTGAATATAATTTGCAGGAAATATCCCCTGTAAAAGAGAAAAGATTTCCAGTTAGAAAAGGTAAATTGTGACAAACATCTCATAGATAAGAAAAGATCAATGAAACCACAGTAGATATGACAGACTAGTTGACAGTTCCTTCCTTCCCTTATGTCTGACAGCCTTAGCAAGGAATTGTCAGACAAGCAGGTCCTTTATAGACAACTAGCTGAATAGCTCTCAGGGTAATTCAGCTCTTCTGGATGCTTTACAATCACTCGGAGGACTTTCCAGGAGATACAGAGGACAACTATACCACAGATGAAGATATGCTTCAGTTATAACCATACCAGATATCCTGGACTAGCCTCAGTATTCTTAGATAAATCAGGCCTCAGGAAACTCTGTAGGACCTTTCAGCCATTTGTATCCATGCCACCAGGAGAATATTGGCCTACTCAGTAGGCAGGGGAGTATTTCTGCTGGTGGCTAGTCAGTAGGCAGCCTGTGGTGCAAACAAATCCTTCATTCGTATGAATGCTATGCCGTGATTTGTTAGTTTAATCCATTATCTTTGGAGGTACTTTGTTATTTAGTAACATGAAATTTTAAAAATTGTGTTCAAAAATTTAAAGGTAATTATCGTGCACAGTCTCATACGGATACTCAAATACAAGTACTGGGAGCAATGTTGAGAGGTAGCACAGATCACAAATATTGCTAAGATAAATAGGATGTAATATCACAAAATACAGCTTTCCACTCATTTATAAGACATTAATTTATTCAAGTTCTAACTTTCTAGAAATTTAATAAAGATTTTAAAAATAAAATGCAATGAGAATAGTGATTCCCATAAAAGCATCTTGAGAGGAAAGCAATACCTGAAGTGTTTCAAAATTAGAAAATAAAAGGAAAATAATCATCTGTGGGCAAAAGTTTTCAGCTAGGGGCAGTTTTGTCCCCATAACATACTTGGCAATATCCAGAGTTCCTTGTTCTTTGAAACAAGGAACCAGTAGAGGGCTGGGAAGGTGGCTCAGTGGTAGAGCGCTTGCCTTGCATGCATGAGGCCTGGGTTCGATTCCTCAGCACCACAATAAGCAAAAAAGAAAAAAGCCGCAAGTGGCGCTGTGGCTCAAGTGGTAGAGCACTAGCCTTGAGCTGAAGAGCTGAGAGACAGTGCCCAGGCCCAGAGTTCAGGCCCCACAACCAGACCACCCCCCCCAAAAAAAGAGAAAGTTACCAGTAGAGATCCTATATGATGCTAACTGTTCCTATTACCAAAAAACTGTCACATTCAAAATGTCAATCATGTCAAGAACAAAAAAGCATGTCTATTAAAATTTTTAATTAAACATGTGAAGACATTATTTCCTTAAGGTAATAATTATTACTTTAAAAACTAATAAAATGGCCGGGCGCTGGTAGCTCACACCTGTAATCCTAGCTACTCAAGAGGCTGAAATCTGAAGATCATGGTTCAAAGCCAGACCGCACAGGAAAAGTCCATGAGACTCAACTCCAATTAACCACCAGAAAACCAGAAGTGGTGCTGCGGTTCAGGTGGTAGAGCGCTAGCCTTGAGCTGAAGAGCTGAGGGCCAGCATCCAGGCCCAGAGTTTAAGCCCCATGACCAACCCAAAAAAAAAAAAAAAGTTAATAAAATGAATGCTTCAAAACTGATAGTTTAAACAATTTTAAGGAAAATAATGTGAAATTTTTTATGTTCCCATTTAAGAAAAAACATAATATACATCAAATATTAAGCTAAAGAAACTTACATGAAAATTGGACAATATTAATTATTTGATCAAGTAAGCAAAAATAATGTTTTACAAATGTATTACTGGAGAGGAATGTAGTTCTAACTATTGTAACTGCTAATTAAAATAGATTTTATTTGAATAAATTAGGTCAGTTACAGCAGACTAAAACCTAGTACATAAAGTTAGTGTTCTACACTAGTCATCTTGTTCAAAATCTTTTTTCCTCAATCCTGGGGCTTACACTCTGAGCCTTGATGCTGTCCCCGAGCTTTTGTGCTCAAGGATAGCATCCTACTACTTGAACCACAGCTCCACTTGGAGTTTTCTGGTGGTTAGTTGGAGATAAGAGTCCTACAGACTTTCCTGTCCCCACTGGCTTCAAACATGATCCTCAGGTCTCAGCCTCCTGAGTAGCTAGGATTATGGACATGAGTCACAGACGCCCAGCTTGTCTATATTTTTAAAAAAGAGTATTCAGGGGCTGGGAAGGTGGCTCAGTGGTAGAGCGCTTGCCTTGCATGCCTGAGGCCCTGGGTTCGATTCCTCAGCACCACATAAGCAAAAAGGAAAAAGCCGGAAGTGGCACTGTGGCTCAAGAGGTAGAGCGCTAGCCTTGAGCTGAAGAGCTGAGAGACAGCGCCCAGGCCCAGAGTTCAGGCCCCACGACTGGACCAAAAAAAAAAACAAACAAAAAAAAAGAGTATTCAGAATGAGGACAGGCGGGGAAAACTGGGAGAAAGCAAAGGAAGTGATGACATTGTCCAAAAAGAATGGTAATTTTTACCTGACTTATATAACTGTAACCGCTCTGAACATCACCTTTATAGTATCAATAAAAAATTAAGAATATTAAGATCAACAGAAGAGGATAGCAGTGAAGCAATAGGGAATCACCTTACCTCTCTCTAATCAAACAAATTTAGGACCTTAACACACACTTCTCCCCCAAGAAATCGACAACAACAAATATATGAACAAATAGAGAATGACAGGATAGGGGGAAAAAACTAATAACTTGTACACAGAAGGACCAAAAACTGTGAAGAGCCGTCCCCCAACCCCCATCCCACACTGACAGCACAGCTATGTGGCTGCCCAGGACTCCAGGGCCTGACCAGTGAGACTACAGCACCCAGACACATCCAGACACAGAAACTTCCACAGCACAGGGACCTGGCCAACACAAAGAGCACCAGAGACCAGCAACATGAGACGGAGACATCCAGACCCAGAGAACTTCCACAGCACACAGGTCAGCCCACAATCAACACAAGGATCAGTGAGTACCCTCCCAATGACCCCACCACCACCACAGGCAAGACCAATGCTGGTGACACACAGGCCTTGGCCTAAACCCCTCCCTCCCATTCAAGGGGCACCACATTTTAAGAGGACATAGAAACCAGAGCCCTTCCTAACTCCCCCACACCCCACCAGGGAGACACCACCAGGACTCATTCTAGGTGGACACTAGACCAGGACTGTGTCCTCCACTGTCCTGGATACTGGCAGGGAAACCTGAAACAGCACAAACTCCCATGTACCCATGAGAACCTGCCCCTTCCAAAGCCTCACACCCATCTCAGAGGCTTTAATCTAACCTTCCCAGCCACCACCACAGACCAGACCTAGCTGCCAGCAGAGAGTTCCCTGGCTCGGGGCCAAGCCATGCATGTGTCCAAGCTGAAGGCCAAGTGCTGGTCACCTGCAAGGTGACCAACTAGGGGCCCAAGCACAGACAAACTCCCACATGCCCATGGGGGCCCACACCTCTGAGGCTCGCACACATCCCAAAGGCCTAAATCTAGCCTTCCCAGTCCCCACAACAGACAGGACCAAGCACCCTCCAACTGCAGAGAGCTCACTGGCCTGAGGCTAAGCTAGCCCAGGGGCAAGTATGCAAGCACAAGTGCTTGATACATGGGGATGCACACAAGTGCTTGCTGGCCCAGGGGCCAAGTAAAGTCTAGTTCACACTAGGTGAACTAGCCCAGGCAAAATGCGGGCCACCACATATTGGGCGCCAACAGCCACGCTGGGCTAGGTCCCTGACAATCCTTGAACCCAAATGAGTAAATCACAATGAAAGATTACAAGATTCATGAACAATCAAGACAATAAACCAAATCCAAAAGCCAACAAAAAATTCAGGGAAGGGCCTCAGTGAAAGTGAAGAAGAGATGGAGGACAAAAGAACGATTAAACATATGATGACAGAATTGGACAATGAAATAAAAAGGGAGATGCAAGAGTACAATTTCAAGAGTACAAAGAAGATCCAGGACTCCCAAAACTGATATGGAGATAAAAACAGAAACATATCCATCCCATTAAAAGAAAAAATTAACACTATGAAAACTGATCTCGGAAGCATAAAAGGTTCAATTTCTACATTGCAAACCACAATGGAATGCCTAGCAGAGTAAGTAAAACAGAAAACCAGAATATCAGGAGTCAAGAGTAAAACAGGAAGTAGAACAAAAGGTCAAAGGGGTGGAAAAAACACTCAGAACCTATCAAAGAGAAAGACAAGAATTGGCAGATTCAGCCAAGAGATCTAATTTACCCATAATTGGGATTAATGAGGGAGAAGAATTCAATACTAAAGGCATCGAAACTCTATTCAGTAAAATAATAACAAAGAACTTCCTCAATCTTACTAGAAAAAAAAAATCACCCACCTGACAGAAGCATACAAGAACCCCCCGTAGACAGGATCCAAGAAGAAACACTTCTAGACATCATAGTACAAACATTAAATTTGAAAAGCAAGGAACTGATTTCAAATGCTGAAAAACCAAAGAAGGAGCTATATTACAATGGAAAGAAAATTAGAATCACTGCAATCTCTCCACACAAACTCTCATTGCAAGGAGAGCCTAGAATGGTATAATCCAAGCCCTGAAGATCAACAACTGCCAACACAAACTGGTATACACAGCAAAGCAATCATTTACATTTGATGACAAAACTAAAATCTTCTAAAACTAAAACCAGACAAACAAAAAAGGAAATCATGAATATTAAAACCAGTATTATAAACAATACTAAAGGAAAGTATAAAATCTGAAAAAAATAATCAAAATCAAGGAAACACATTAAACAAAAATCACTAGGAGACCAAGAAGAAAGAAGCAAAACACAAACCGGGCGCTGGTGGCTCAAGCCCGTAATCCTAGCTACTCAGGAAGCTGAGATCTGAGGATCGTGGTTCAAAGCCAGCCCGCACAGGAAAGTCCATGAGACTCTACTCTCCAATAAACCACCAGAAAACCAGGA